TCTTCCTGTTTCCCCAAGTTCCCCCAATCCTCCCCTTCTCACTTTTCTCTCCCCATCCCCCCTTATCCCCAACCCACCCCACCCCCAATAATTTTTTTTAATTTATTTATTATGTATACAGTGTTCTGCCTACATGCATACCTGCACCCAGGAAGAGGGCACCAGATCTCATTATAGATGGTTGTGAGCCACCATGTGGTTGCTGGGAATTGAACTCAGGACCTCAGGCAGAGCAGTCAGTGCTCTTAACCTCTGAGCCATCTCTCCAGCCCCTTGTATACCAGTATCTTGAGGTAGATCAATTCCCAGTGTCCTGAAGAACTAGTACACTGATTTCCATAGTGGCAGCACCAGTTTTCATGTTCACTCCATGGAGAACCTACCCTCTCTGAGGAGTGGATGGGGGGGTGGCATGGGGAGGAAGGTGGAAGGAGTGGGAACTGGAATGGATATGTAAAATTAGGAAAGGTTGTTTTTTTAAAAAAATAAATTAGTTGAAAAAATAATTCCATAGCTAATTTCTTCATGGATTTTATCATGAAGAATTTTGTATTTTTTTAATGTTTGTTCTTCATTCATTGGAATGATCAGATAGCCTTTTATATTTCATTATGTTTGTGTGTTATGTTACACTATAAATTGTGTGGATTTTAGTTTATTATCTAAGTAAAACTCTGTGAGTGTTGTGAAATAGGTAAGAATGCCCACATCCATAGTGGTATAGTTTGCTAGTAATCTTGCTCTTACCCTGCAAATGTTACAACCTACATGTGACTGCAGAATACCCCTTCCCCGGAGTAGTGGAGCTATGGGTGGTGGATGCCAGAACCTGTGGTTTCTCACTATGTTTCTGTCCCAGATCTATAATTCTTACAATGGTCCACTCTCACTTCCTAGTTCCAGTATTCACCCATGGCCATTCATCTTAGAATATAGCTACATCCATAGTCATTGTTGCATGTAGAGCAAAGGGCCTTTGTTTGACCCAGCTGCCTGGCTAGCTTACACCCGGAATAATCACACAGAAACTGTATTCATTTAAATACTGCCTGGCCCATTAGATCTAACTTTTTATTGGCTAATTCTTACATCTTAACTTAACCCATTTCTATTAATCTGTGTATTGCTATGTGACTGTGGCTTACCAGCAAAATTCTAATCAGTATTCATCTCAGGCAGGAGATCCATGATGTCTGCCATTCTGCCCTTCTTCCCAGCATTCAGTTCTTTCTATTCCACCTACCTAAATTCTGTCCTATCAACTAGGCCAAGGCAGTTTTCTTTTATTCATTAGTCAATGAAAGCAACACACAGACAGAAGGAACTCCTACCCCAGTGGTTTATCCTTACAGAAGAGGGTATGGCATGGTGCCCTCTTCCTCTATTCTGAAATGTCAGGGTTAGTGGTTTATATGCTCACCCAGGAATTTCTCTTTAGTTTGAATTCCACTAGGAAGGTCAAGAAAAACAGTTTAAATTAGAGACAAAGAGGAGTAGAATGTAAAATTCTATTTAGAAATTGTTACTCTTTTACTAAATGTGCTTTGGTTGGCCTTTTCTTTGAACTGCAAACTTGGTAAAAAAAAATTAAAGCTCTTAACTAGTTTTGACATTCTGGAAATTATCATTGAAACAACAGTTGTAGTAAACTTTATGCTGAAGTTAATATATTATATATATTTTTCTGTTCCCTCTTTTCTTTACAGTTCATAACAAATTCATGAGTTTTTTTCCTTTTAGTCAAGAACATATTAATACTTTTATTCTATAGGAAATGTCGGGGTTCCTTAATTTTCACTGGCATGGATATTTCCATTCATGTATTTGATAGAGGAAGTCTATAACACATAAATCTCATTCCCATAGCTTGGATTATATTAGGAAACGGCCATTTGGAATTATATGTATTCTTTTCTGTGTTGATAATAATAAATAAAATAATTTCCAGTCAATTCAACATAAAGTCTTTCTGTAAATGATTTTAACAGTAATTGAACAGAGGAGGGGATTAGATGTGGTTGATATTTTTCCTTCTTTTGACTCTGCATTGTTAGCATCTGAGTATTTACTTCTACTAGTTGCACAGAGGTAAAGGAAAATGTACATCTGATCCCTTGGCAGGGAATTATGTTTGTAGAGATAAAAAAGAGAAACTATATTCAGATGAAAAGTTTATTATCAAATTCCAATTCAATACAATGTTTTGATTCTTCTGTCTAGGAAATCATGACAATAAATTTAATAGTAATACAGAGCTCCAGAGGTAACATAAAAGATAAAAATATTCTCAATCTCCACCCAGGAAACAATCAAATTCTTAGTTCAGGATATTGAGTGTGTTAGAATATTACTAGAAAATTGTGACTCCTAAACTACATCCTGTGCTTCCTGGATAAGTTTTTAATCAAAAATTAAAACAACATGTGGAAAACCCCAATGGTTTTCTCATAGAACTTCTAAATATTCATCTTGATTTCCCCAACCAAAACCATACATCTTTAATCTTGTACCTCTGAATATAGTTCCAATACATTTTAATTTACTATCTTCTGTCCAAGAAGCACAGTGTCTATGGAGTCCTACAAAAAGATCTTTCACCAAAACAACATTACAATAGTAATACAGTTAATATGAAAGGATATACCACCTACTGGCAAAATAAGGAACCATATTAAATGTGTGATTGTCTTCCTATGCATCTACTTTCTTCTTTGGTTTAATTCTTATCTTGGTTTATCATATTTCTTACACTCTTCTCAATAAAAATAGTGGTATTTTTGTTCTTGGACATATGTGTATAGTGGAGTGTTGCTATCTATGTAGGCAGAAGCTGAATTCATCTCCCCCTTTTCATGGTAACCTCTGGATTCAGAGTCTCTTGTCTCCTTGTCATCTACATATTGACTATATATTCTGATATTCCCTGATGAATCTGATCCTGGCTCCTGTCCTTGTCTCCCCTCACCCGATGTGGTTACACATGGTAAATAGTTACACTCTTCAGTTCCCATACAGGATAGGCTCTGAAGAGAGCTGTTGAGAGAAGATCTTTGGTTTCTATTTCTACTGTCACTTGATAGCTGGTAGCTATCATTTGATTGGCCATGGTTATATACTTGACTTTTATTAGTGCTGAATCCAGATTGATTTCCAATTGAACTGGATTCCGAATTGTCCTGAAATAATATATATTGACTATGGCCAAAAACAGATTGGTCAACTGGCTGGTTTTGAGTAGTTTCTTGTTTTCCTTTCAGACTGTATCTGTACTTAAAATCACAGTCATTCAAATGCTCAGGTGTTACTCCAAAATGGCCAAGACTAGAGACTAGAGTTCCACTTGTACTGGATCCAATCAGATTGTAGTGATCAACTGGCTGCCCATGATCTGTATCTGATTCTCTATATTTTAACACCAGCTCTCCCATTCCTTCATTTGCTTTGGATCCTACATGGTGAGAAAGAGAGAAAGACTGTCCATATCTTGACACTTGTGTGTGTGTAGTTCTATGTGATGACCTCAAAGGACTAGAATTGCGACTGCTAGTTCTGCTGCCTTCAGAAGGTCCATATCCCGATTGTCCATAGTCATAATCTTCACGACCATAGCTGCCATGTCTCCAACGTTGACTAGAACTATATTGGTTGCCAGTACTATGTGACCTATAATGCCTTGTATCAGACTGGACATGTGCGTTGCTTGATTGTTTGCTTAGACCATCCCTTGACTGCCAGTGAGTACTATGTGTTGCAGTACGACTATAACCCAACTCTCCATGTTGTGATTTAGGGTCTCTATGGGACTGAAGCCCAACATGGCCCTTAGTGGATCCTGAGTATCTCCTTGATGCTACTGAGTGCTCCTCATGCTCACTGGAATCACTGTGAACAGGTGACTCCCTAGGACTTCTCCCAAACCGTGACTCTGAGGATTCAGCATGGCCAGACTGAGGCTGTGTACTACTGTCCCCAGATTGCCTTTGAGGACCCCTTTGGCTTCTGTGGACTGTGCCATGCTGAAGTCCACCATGACCCTTAGTGGATCCTGAGTATCTCCTAGAAACTACTGTGTGTTCCTCCCCTTCACTGGACTCAGAGTGAACAGGTGTCCCTCCTGCACCTTTTGTAGCTCCTGAATGTGAGGTCACCTCATGCCCAGACTGAGCCTGTCTACTGCTGTCCCTAGATTGCCTTTGAGGACCTCCCTGGCTTTCATGACCTGGTGACCCCCATTCTCCATGCTGGTGACCACCATGACCCCAAGAAGATTCTGAATGTCTCCTTGAAACTACTGAGTGTTCCTCACCTTCACTGGACTCAGGGTGAACAGGTGTCCCTCTTGGACCTTTTGTAGCTCCTGAATGTGAGTGTTGCACATGTCCAGACTGAGAGTGTCTACTGCTGTCCCTAGATTGTCGATGAGAACCTCCCTGGCTTCCATGAGTTGCTGACCCTGACTCTTCATGCTGATGTCCACCATGACCTTGAGGAGATCCTGAATGTCTCCTTGAAACTACTGTGTGTTGTTCACTGTCACTGGACTCTGGGTGAACAGGTGCCCCTCTGGGTCTTCTCTGAGAGCCACCATGTGCTGGCTGCTCATGCCCAGACTGAGACTGTCTACTGCTGTCCCTAGATTGTCTCTGAGGACTTTCCTGTCTCTCATGAGCTGCAGTCCCAGACTCTCTATTCTGATGTCCACCATGTCCCTGAGGAGATCCTGACTGTCTCCTAGAAACTACTGTGTGTTCCTCACTTTCACTGGACTCGGGGTGAACTGGTGCCCCTCTTGGACTTCTTGAAGGCCCTGAATGTGAGGGCTGCACATGTCCTGACTGAGACTGTCTACTGCTGTCCCTAGATTGTCTTTGAGGACCTCCCTGGCTTCCATGACCTGCTGACCCTGACTCTCCATGCTGGTGACCACCATGACCCTGAGAAGATTCTGCATGTCTCTTAGACACTTCTGAGTGTTCCTCACCTTCACTGGACTCGGGGTGAACTGGTGCCCCTCTGGGTCTTCTCTGAGAGCCACCATGTGATGGCTGCTCATGCCCAGACTGAGACTGTCTACTGCTTTCTCTAGATTGTAGTTGAGGACCTCCCTGACTTCCATGACCTGCTGACTCTGATTCTCCATGCTGATGTCTACCACGACCCTGAGAAGATTCTGAGTGTCTCCTAGAAACAACTGAGTGTTCCTCACCTTCACTGGACTCAGGGTGAACTGGTGTCCTTCTTGGACTTCTTGAAGGACCTGAATGTGAGGGCTGCTGATGCCCAGACTGAGACTGTCTACTGCTGTCCCTAGATTGTCTCTGAGGACTTTCCTGTCTCTCATGAGCTGCAGTCCCAGACTCTCTATTCTGATGTCCACCATGTCCCTGAGGAGATCCTGATTGTCTCCTAGAAACTACTGTGTGTTCCTCACTTTCACTGGACTCGGGGTGAACTGGTGCCCCTCTTGGTCTTCTTGAAGGCCCTGAATGTGAGGGCTGCTCATGCCCAGACTGAGACACTCTACTGCTGTCCCTAGATTGTCTCTGAGGACTTTCCTGTCTCTCATGAGCTGCAGTCCCAGACTCTCCCTGCTGATGTCCACCATGTCCCTGAGGAGATCCAGAATGTCTTCTTGAAACTACTGTGTGTTCCTCACTTTCACTGGATTCACTGTGGACAGGTGTCCTTCTGGGTCTTCTTGAAGGCCCTGAATTTGAGGGCTGTTCTTGTCTAGACTGAGGTTGTCTACTGCTGTCCCCTGACTGTCTTTTAGGTGTTTCCTGTCTTCCATGACCTTTGGAGCTTGACTCTCCATGGTGAACTTCCTCATGTCCATATTTTTCCTGACCTGAGCCAAATGACTTATTAGAGCCAGACCCATGTCTCCCATATCCAGAAGACTTACTTGGGCCAGACCCATATGGAGATGACTGACCGTGTCCATACCCTTGCTGCCCAACACCAGATGACTGTCCTGAATGAGACCTGTTCTGCCAAGAACTAGATGAGTGACTTGAACCAGATTTATGTTCTCCATACCCAGATGACTCACCTGGGCCAGACTCATACTGCCCAGCACTCGATGACTGACCTGAACTATGCCCATGCCTTCTATAACCCGTTGACTGACCTGAGTGAGACCCATGCTGCCCAGAGCTAGATGACTGACCCGAGTGAGACCCATGCTGCCCAGAGCTAGATGACTGACCTGAACCAGACTCTTGTCTCCCATAACCAGATGACTGACTTGGACCAGATCCATGTTTCCAAGTGTTAGATGACTGACCAGATCCAGATCCCTGTCCCCCATAGCCAGATGACTGACCTGGGCCAGACTCATGCTGCCCAGAACTAGATAACTGACCAGAACCAGACCTTTGGTCACTGCAACCAGACAACTGACCTGAACCAGATGCATGCTGCCCATGTTGACCACAACCTGAGGATTGACCTGATGCCGTACCATGCTGGCCACAGCAAGACTGTCCTGATCCATGCCCATGTTGTTTAAAGCCAGAGGACTGTCTTGAATTTGTTCCATGTTGTTCACAGCAGGATGGCTGCCCTGAACCAGACCCATGATGACCACATTTGGAATGTTCATTTGAACAACACCCCTTCTGATGAGAGCTTGAAGAGTGTCCACAGGAACTGCTTCCGTGCTGACCATAACCAGAATTTTGGGTTGCTCCAGATCCACAGCATGACGAATGATGTGAGCTCGTGCTCTGCTGTCTTCCACAGTGCTCTGCATGACCACATCCATACCCTCTCTGACTAGAAGACTGGCTGCAGGATCTAGGTTCAGTTTGACAACATCTAGACGACTGACCTCCAGAGACACATCCATAGCCTTGTCCTCCACTAGTTCCTGATTGACATCGTGACTGGGTAGAGCAAGACTGACTTCCTTGCCTCCCAGATGTACTTGCCTGACAAGAACTTGAAGCACTTTGTGGTCTGCAACATCCACTAGAATTGCTGTGACCACATGCATGACTTTGTGTTTTGCTGTTTTCTGAACTTGCAGAGCTAGGCTCAAGCTTTTGTTCTCCACCCTTTCTTGACTGAGTAGAATTTGGTTCATGTTTGCTCTTCTCCAGTCCATGTGACAATCCACTATGACCTTTCCTTCCCTGACTGTTTAACCTAGATCCAGATTCATATTCTTCCCCAGCTTCTCTAGAGGACCTACCATGTGACTTGTTTCTTTTTTCTTCTAGCTCTTCAGAGCTGGAACCATGTCTCTCTTTGTTACTGCTCCAAGATTGACCAGAGCTAGACCCATGGTATTTTCTCCTGGGTTCCTCTGAGCTGGATAATTCACTGTGCCTTTCCAACCTCCTGGAGTTGGACCTACGTCGAGGTTTTGCAGTTCCCCACGAGCTCCCAGAACTGTGTCCATGCTCCTCTCCCTCACTCCAACTTGAATGTCTGAAACCTGATTTCCGTCTTGGTATCTCTTCTTCCTCTTCTGTTTCACTTTCTTCCTTTCGATTTTGATGACCATGCCTAGGCTTCTTTGACCCTGAAGCTTTACAGTATTCTTTTCCAAGAACCTTGTTGCAGGCCATAGCCAATTTGAACACCATCAGAAGAAACTCGGTGAAGTCTAGTCTTCGGTCATGATCTCGATCCAGCATATGCATGATGACATCTACTTTATCTGGATCATCTGGATTCTGAATATGAGAGACACACCAAGGATAACTTGGTTAGCCCAGCTTCATTTTCAACTAAAATAACCCAGCAGCACCTTGTATATATATTGTGTTATATAATTTTAATCTTCTGAGTATTACTTTAGGTTAGTAAGACCTAGAATATATGAAAAGTTAATGGAAAAGACTATTGTGATCTGTGGAAGAAGATGAAATTGTTCCTTGTTTGCTAAAATAATCAATTAGTTAATTTCTTAGCACTATATTATTTATTTGCTTGGAATGGGAAGCCTGAGTACATGAGAAAGTTGGATTCTTTAAGGTGGAAGGGCACAGGAATATATTGAAGAAACATTTGTCTTTAAAATAAATATGCTGATTCAATAGATTTACGATGTCCTGGCTCAAAAGAATATTACTTGAGTTTTCTCAAAATCAGCTGGGGCTGTGCACTTTCCACCAAGTTTGGTCCTAGAACATGTACAGACCCCAACAGCCTTCAGACTTGACACGTACCTTCAGAATTGGACGAAACTCTTTCTCCAGAAGTTCCTTTAGCTCATCCTTGCTCAGTGTGCCACATTCTCCATCTTGCTTGGTGTATTTGTAGAATATATCAATGACGGTGACAACACTTCTTAAGAGGTCTGTCATCTTTTTCCCCCAAGGTTAAATGAACCTACAGAGAGAGAAGGAAACATAGATAAAGAAAGAGACATAGAGAACTAATTTTCTTTTCCTTTATTTTAATTTATGAACAGGTCTTATTTTAATATAATGCAGTGGTTTTCAACCTTTCTAATGCTGAGATCCTTTAGTATAGTTCCTCGTGTTGTAGTAACCCTCAAATATGCTTATTTTCATTGCTACTTCATATCTGTAATTTTGTTACTATTTTGAATCATAGTGTAAATATTTGTAGGATATCCTATGTGTGACCTCTGTGAAAGGGTCGTGACCTATGGGCTGAGAACTGCTGACAAAGTAATTTTTCAAACATCTTTTCTTTCATCAACCTCAACTGTAAGTATGGCTCAGGATTTTTGTCGCACCAATCAACACAATGAAAACTTGGGATGATCTCAGGTCTCCACAATATTTATCTTATGAATATATTCTTTTTATGATATTTCTTTGAGTATTTTTGTGTCCTGGGTATTACTCTGGGCTTCCAAAACTCCCAATACAACAGAGACACCACAGCCCCAGTCTGTCTAATCTCTTCTGTTTTCTCCTACCCTTTTCTCTTCCTCTCCTTGCCTCTCCTTGCCTATTCTTTTATTTTCTCTTTCTTTTGTTTTTTTTTTTTTGTTTCTTTCCTGGCATGAGTGTGAAACATTCATGTTTTTGCATGAGTGTGTATGCACATTTGTGTTTGAGGACAGATGGGCATATATTTGCACAAATCATCATTCACATTGTTTATATCTTTTCTGTATATGTGAGTGAATTCATGTGTGTGTGTGTGTGTGTGTGTGTGTGTGTGTGTGTGTTTGTATGTGTTCATGACAACAGGCACACAGGTACCACAGTTCATGCGTGGAGATCAGAGGACAACCTCAGGTGTTGCTCATCACTTTCCACATTGCTTGAGTCATGGTTTCCTTTTTGTGTGTTGTTCATCACTGTGTTGCTGGACTAGCTATGGAACACTGGGATTTCCCATGTGCACTACTGTGCCCAGCTTTATGCGGGATCTGGGCATTTGAGTTTGGGTCTCCACACTTGTATCATAAGTTCTTTAGACACTGAGCCATTTTCCCAGCCCTCCACCTTATATTCGAGACAAGGTCTCTCAATGAATCTGGAGCTCATTGATTTGGTTGGATTGCCTAGCAAATGAGTTCTACAGAGCCACCTGTTTCTGTCCTTTTGTCAGCACTGGCTACCCTACCTTTCCATAGGGGCTCTGTGTCTGAACGCAGGTCTTTGTGCTCGTATGACAGGCGCTTTACTTGTTCAGAGCTCGGACTCTTTTTTTTCTTTTCTTTTTTCCCCTTTCCTTTCCCTTTCTTCTGTCCCTTTTTTCAGTCCTTTTTTTTTTTCTTTTTGAATCAGGATCTCATGTAGCTCATTCTGGTCTCAAAAAGTTGCTTTGTAGCCAAGCTTGGCAATTGACTCCTAATCTCCCTTGCTTCCACCATTCCCGGCTGGGGCAAAAGTAACAGATACCTTAACATTTAAATCCCTTTTGTTCATCAGAAAGCAAACTAGACCCCAAAATACCATGAAGAATTGAAAATGGGCAAAGTGTGTCAATAATATCTTGGTACTGTAGATCCTATAGTTATAATGGCCCTTAGAACAGAAACTATCGAAACATCAACCCTCACATAAACACCAAGTAAACACATTTCCTTCCAAATGTTGCCAATTCAGGTAAGAAGTTGAAAGTGGAGAACTAGATCTCAACACTCTCCAAACCAAAAGTGAACCACAAACAAACTACACCATAATACCAGTCGCTTTCACATGCCGCAGAAAGATGGTGTGTGGTTAAATTAGGGAGAATATGAAATGGCCGAAAACAGTGGTTCTCAATCTTCCCAGAGTTGTAACTTTAATACAGTTCCGCATGTTGTGGTGACCTCCAACCACAACATTATTTTTGTTGCTACTCCATAACTATAATTTTGCTGTTGTTATGGATCATAATGTAAATATCTGATATGCAGGATATCTGATATGAGACTCCCATGAGAAGGTTGTTCGACCCCCAAAGGGATCAAGACCCATAGATTGAGAACCTCTGGCCTAGACAAAGACAGACTTCTACTGGATTTATTCTCCTCAATAAAGACATTGATTTCTAAAGACTCAAGTATAAACTAAATTAACTAAACAGACAGCAAACCAAAAATAAAAGAAACAACAACAAAAGGAAAAGTAGCAAAATATAGTACTGTCTATGCCCGAGCTCAGACTTGGCTCACAATATCTGGCCCAAGAGCACCAAGTACCATACATTTAAATTCTTCTCACCTGATTCACCAAAGGAACAAATAGGATAAGGCCTGATGCAGCTTGCAGGGTGTTGATAGTTGGGGACAGTGACCCTTATATAGCTTGGGTGCTGTCTTCTGTGGGATGGGCTGATTCATTTCTAATCAAATGTAACTCCACCCCTTGCATGTTTATCTTCCTTCTTCACATTCTTGCCTGTAGGATGATTGCAGAGAGGGTGATAATGGCCCCACCTTCCACAGTAGAGATATGCTCTGGGATGCTCTCTTGTAGGGTCGCACACAGTGAAATGCAGAGCCTTTGCTAGAGAAGATTAATTTGTGCAATTGGTTTTCTTTATCTAGTGTTCAAAGAAGATAGTGGAGTAAAAATACTTGGCAGGAGCACAGTGAAGTTTTTTTTAATTGAAAATAAACCCAGGCCAACAAGCTTGTCCAATTCATGACTATTGCAATAACATTACGCTACCCTTTTTCTGAGAATTTACTGTATTCAGACACTGTGTTGACTGCATCTCTCTGTGTTGTCACATAATATTTGCATGTGTATGTTTTTCACACACTTCAAATGAAGACATAGGTTTAAAAACATTCAAAGTCATAGCTATATGATGGAAAAAAAACAAGATTTAAACATTTAACTCTTATTGTGCTGTTGCTGTAACCATTATGTTAGTTTACCCTTATTATATAGCCATTATGCAAAAATGAATTTGAGGTTTATACCATCTATATACCATTTTAAGAATGCCAGGTCTACTGAAATGCAACTAATATGAAAGGCTAATGTATGAGATGCTGCAAGCCATGAAAAGAAGATCTCTTCTCTGATGATGTGTAGGCTATCTGCCTATCTAAGTTTAGGGTACATAAATAAAGGTAATGTTTTTAGAAAATGAATTTCGAGTAAGACTTCTTCCAGTGCCCTACTATACACTGGCAGTCTGGCATCTTTAGGCCTAGTGTCTTGGGAAAGTGTATGTACATACCGCATATCATGTGTGTTTAAGGGCAACAAAATAACCCAAAAACTGTATTAGGCATGGTGAATCACCTCGTCTGTACTCGCCACCAGGCAATGGTGACACCATTAATTGATTACTGTCTTCTGTTTTGACTACTTTTCTATTTTATTTCTCATGTAAACTTGTAAGGTGAATGCTATTGTCACCCCTTTACAGATCATGTAATGAAAGGATAAATAAAATTTAAACCGTGCTAGAATCATGGCAGTATCAGAAGCAAAAGTTACTCACTCTACTGGATGCTTAAGCGTGGCCTTTAGTTGCCGATTCACCAAGTCTGGGGTCTGTCATCTCCTGCCTGGGTCCTCCTTTGGTAACAATTATCATCCAGACAGTCCCTAGAGCTTGGCAACCACATAGAAAGAATACCTGTTCACAGTCATGCTAATGAATTTGCTCCTGAAAGACTCCACTGCTCCTATAGCCATGGGACTCCTAAACTAATACGGCCACAGAAAGTTAGGTTTTCCCCCTGGATATTATAGTCCTTCTCGGTCATATGACTCTTTTAAAATTGTGTTTCTTTTTGTAAAAGTGACTGTGTCAGGAAGATTTTGGGGCCTCACATCCATACTGGATTAAGCATTTAAAGCCAGCCTTGCACTGAATTCCAGCATTCATCTAGAACTGGGAGTCTTTCATAGCCTGTCTCTCGGATCTTCTCCAGTTCATTGTCCTGTATCCTTTGTGTTCAGTCTCTCTTCCTTGTCTTACTTTCTTAGCATGAAATTATAATCTCTGTAGTCAGAAAACTGGAGTTCAGCTTTCAGCTCCACCTCTTACTAGCTGTGTTCCTTGAGTAACTAAAAGTTCTCTTGGCTTCTGCTTCCCAACTTAAAGCACTTACTTGCTCACTGATGGGGGTGACATGTGGCCTACAGTAACTACCTAGTTAGCTACACAAGATCATTTGGTTTAAGTATTTCATGCCATCCAATGCATTTTATACACAAGAATTGATTTTTAAAAATGAGGTAGAGGTCAGTAATAGGACCTGAAAAAGCCTTTTTCAAAAGCATTGTACAGAAGGTAAGTCCTGACTTTTAAACATATAACAATCTATTGAGATATACCCTTGGGCAGTCTCCATGAACTTCCCACTGCTTAAGTTCCCTTTATTGATAACCACCAAATGTTACTACTGTCTGGTTATGAGTGGACATGTCAGGCCATCAGAGCAACAATCTGGAACAAGCATTGTTCCTACCCAACAAGGACCTAAGTGCCTTCTGACAAGGAACAAATTTCTGGTAGTTTTGGGCATAAAGGTGGCTGTGGTGATATCTGCAGAGACTCTTGCTTACCAAACTTCAAAAAGTTCTAGTCTGAGGAAGCAGAAGAGTGGGGCCCCAAGCAGGGCAGTCTCCGGCATGCTTTCCTCTGTACCTGGGCCTTCTTCCTCCCCATTTTCTCATCACCCTCTGCTTACCCATCCATATCCACCCTGCTCTGGGTTGTCAGGGGCCATTTGGTGAAGCTCATGTGCCATTGGCCACTGCATACACACCTTAAACTATTAAAACAAACTTTGCATGTGTGGAAGCCCCAGTTTTTAGTTTTAATTTGTTCCCACATGCAATCCTTCCTATGGGGTGGCTTTATTAAAATTGAAGTCAACTTTTTTTTGTCATGTTGTCATGTTCAAATTGAGATCTTGCTATAGGAC